ATTGGTAACACCAAAACTAAAACTAGCAAAACTGTAGCTAAAAGTGAGCAACAAAACTGTGCCTAAAAACTAACGTCGTTAAAAGAAGAAGCAAAAACTGAAATTGGTAACACCAAAACTAAAACTAGCAAAACTGTAGCTAAAAGCTAAAGGAATATAAAACCACAAATTGGAGCAAATATGCTGAAGGACATGAAAAAAAAATCTCAATGTGTGGTTTTGTGTTTTAATATTTCAGTAAAAGTTATCAGTAGCCAGAACATGCAGAAGAGACTATAAACAAGAAAACAATTTGCTGAGTCAGCATTCAGAAAACAATAAATGGGGGTGGGGGGCAAAAATGACAACAAGTAGAAAGAGGGTTTAAAGAACCCAATCAGCTGCTGCTCCACTCCTAACAGCCCCTGTGGACGTTCTGCTGGGGTCGACAAACTCTGCAGGATTTGCTGAGAAGAGAAAAAATTGCTTATGTGAAAAGGTTGCAAGGAGAACAAGTGACCAGCTCAGAGAGAGAGACAGAGAGAGAGGGGGGAAATATTCATGCAAATTTAGGGATTTTCAAAATAAAAAAAGGTTGATAAATGAGCAAGGCCGTTTAATGTGACCTGTAAACTCAGGAGGTGAAGAACAACAGGGACGATAATCTGTGAATCTGTGAATTTAATCAGTTTCATTAGAAACACAACAAGTGGAGGTCTTTTTTTTTTTAAGTAAAATGTTAGCCGTCTGTGTGTTGGTGTTRAAATCTGAACACTGGATGGATTTTAATTATTGGCCTGAGTCAAGATGGCCGCCACCGCTCCTCAACCAACACAGATGGTGACAACTTGGTCAATTTTACAGAGACAGTTACATTTTTGTGTGGTAGTTGCTGAGGGTCATTCCCATCACGTACCCTAAAAACTAAGAAATTGCTCAGAAGATTTGACCCTAAAACAGGGATATTCAAGTTGCGGCCCGCGGGCCACATCCGGCCTGCGAGTGACCAAATCCGGCCCGCCAATTGTTTCGTTCATCTCTTAAGCCCAACCCCCCGGTTTTCTACTTTAATCACTTTAAGTTCTTTTAGTTAAACATAGACATGTTTGGTATCTACAGAAACGTCAGGATCTTGGCTAGAAGCTGGTACAAACCTTTTTCATAAACACTCAAGACAGTTAAAACTATAAGCTGTTGAAGATAAAACAATGAAAGTGAAAATAAAATTTTGAAAAATCAGAGATGTCAAAATTATATTTGTGTTAAATAGGAGGGATAATGTGTTCTTTTTAGTTTTGAAATTGTTTTATTATCACTACTTTTATTGCATAGGGTTCTGTATGTTGTATTTATGATTAAATAAAAATTAAATAAACTGTTTCAAAGGTAACAGATACAGTACTTGGTTCATTCACATAATGATTGTAATTGATGTACTGTATTTTTCGGACTATAAGCTGCACCGGACTATAAGCCGCACCCCCAACATAAAAAAAAACAGTACACTCAAATTTGCCGTCAAAAAAGTGAATTCAACAACAAAACATAAAAAGCAAACCTTTAAGAATTAAAGTTCGGAGGAATACGGTTCATTTAACTGACCTTATTTTGGTAGTTTTCTTTAACAGTTTCTGGTCCAACAAAACGTCTCATTCATCGTCCTCCGGCGCACTGAAACCATCGAAGTCCTCTTCAGTGTTGGAGTTAAACAAGCTGAGAAAAGCTGCGTCACACAGCGGTATCTGTTGTCATCCCGGGGTAATGCTGGCTCTGAAGCTGTGGTGGGAAAGCCCTCCTGCTCCAGCATACGTCACTGCATGGGATTCCTTCCCCGGGGAGTGCAATGCCGAAAAAAAAGTCCGTGGCTCTTCACTCGACGTTTATCCACAAACTGGTCCTGGATTAAGCTCCAAAGTTTTTATCAGTCAGATTCCACTGTGAAAAATGTCTGTTTTATCCCCTTTTATGAGTTTTTGGCCATTGACTATCTTTAAATCGCTGCTTCCTGGTACAAAAGTCGGCTCTGGAAGCGATCGCTTTTTCTTCTTTTTTTTCCTTTCTTTTTTTGAAGCGAGTGGTTGAAGCAAATGGAGCATAAGAGCCCCCTGGTGGCTGAAGACAAAAATCCATGTATAAGCCGCACCGGACTATAAACCGCATGGTTCAAAGTTCAGGAAAAAAGTCGCGGCTTATAGTCCGAAAAATACGGTATGTTCGGCCCTTTAGCTGTTGGCCTGCAGTAACTGTGGCCCCCGGAGCAATTTAGTTGAATAGCCCTGCCCTAAAATTTAAGATTACATCATCATTATTAGGTGTTTTGTTGAGAAACAAATGCTTTTACCCGCTAAAAAACATGAAAATGAGATCAAACATGACCAAACCAGAACCAGGACCACAGCAGCGTTTAGGTTCTCCATGATGAGGCGGGACATTTTGGTGCTCCAACGAAGCAGCTGTGCTTTCATCTCGTCGTTGATCTTAAACCGAATCACCACAGAGCCACAGAGCTGCGAGTGGACTTGACCACCGGCTGAACCCGACATATTTCGTTTCTAATCTGCCCGAGATTTGATCTGGGGCCGAATCTGTTCGCCTAACGAGGGCTCGGYCTGTGCTTCACGCGCACGCCTCGGGTCACGCGAGCAGCGAGAATCAAAGCGCGTCCGCCGGCGATGAAAGGCTTTCAACACGAACCGTTGCAACATTTGCATGCGACGAATCCTGCGCTGAATTAAAGGCGTGAAACGAGAGATGAAGCCRCGCTGCAGCAGAGAGAGAAGAGCCRAGGGACTTTTCAAAATTAAATTTACTCGATTTGATCTCCAGCAAACAATTTAGTCTTAATTATCGGGATATTTTGTTGCGTTACTCATGGGGGTGAGCTCAGTCTCTTATCTCTGAGCTTCACTCACCGTGTCGACRTCCGCTCAGACTGAACACATTCCTGTTCCTCGTGTGTCAAATACAAAAAGCTTTATTTACCTCCGGCTGTGTGGATCATCGACACCGGGGGCATTTAGATTGACATCTTTTTAGAGATTTGCTGCCTGTGTTTTTAGCGACGTTTAGCGTTCTGATGTTGAGATACGGCGCCTGCCGAGGTGTACTCAATGCTGAGTCAGCACTCGCACTACTTTCTTAAACATGTTAATTCTTAACATTTAGTTGTCAGTTTTTGGGTTGGAGCAGCTGAATTGTGAGGCTGGATCATCATAATGAATTATAACTAGAGATGGGACCAGAAGCCAGAAGTTGAAGCCTTTTAAAAAATGTTTTGAAGCACATTTAGCAGCATTAAAAGCAATGATTTCGAGCTGAAGACTTGATGTTTTTGATACTTTCCCAGCGTGTAAGAGGAGCTACTTTCAGGACCATAAATCCAAATATGGTTTCTATATCTTTTAAACGACGTCAAGAATTCTTCAGAATATTCTAAAAATAGGGTTCAGACGAGTTGTTCAACTCATGTCTCTGGAGCCGCTCATGTTGTCAGGACGATATAAGAAGCTAAACCTTAAGATTTAATTGCTTTTGATGATACAAACTTACTAATTAATGAGCCCTGTTATTAGTACGAGTGCACCGATTGCAGTTTTCTGGCCGATCACAGACCTGCTGAAACCRATTTTGGCAGATTCTGGTTTTTATTTCAATGACTAACAATGTCGTTCAGTCTTATTTCACTGAAAAACACTGAACACAACCCTTGAAACAATACAGACATGTAGTTGTGCTCACAGCAGAGTAAAAGGGGACAGTTGGTGATTTTCAGATCTTTGTGAGGTAGATGAGAAGACGAATTTTTCAATGATCTTCCAAAATGATGTGCTGATAAATCAGCTGGCCTATTTATCAGTGCTTTTCTTGTTAGCTTCTCTGAGATTGCTCTGGTTGCCATCTACTGCAAGTAAGATACTGACTACTAACTACTCAATGCGACCCCTCCTTAAAACTATACATGCATATTAAAGTGCCTGTGACATCCATGAAATACAAAAAGTCAAAGAAAACAGATTTATATATTTAAGAAACTTGGCATAATACACGATTTGACCCGTCACATAATTGGCATATTTTATTTTGAATTTTGCTCAGCTAAAGTGAAACAGGAAGTGACATCAAAGGGGAACACTTTGAGAATGAAAACTGGTTTTTCTTTATTGAAACAATATTATTTGAACTATGACTCTCATCTCATATGATAGTGATTTAAAATAATCTAAAGAAACTTCAGATTCTTCTCTACAGTCTGCGCTGTTAGCCATTTTAGCAACGCTCTAAACATTCAGACATTCCCCTGTGACATCACTTCCTGTTTCTTCACATGTGAGTATCTCAACAGCTGTTCATCTCAGCGGCATGAAATCTTTTCTATAATATGTTATCTTTCCAGAAACACATTCATATTTATTATAAAATGTTGATGTCACAGGCACTTTAAATTTAGCGTTTAAATTTCCCTGTTTCCTGTCCTTTGAATGCACAAAACCAAACTCGGCCTGCTGTTTATTTTTCCCTCCCCTCGTCTCTCTCCGTGTTTTCCAGGGCAGCACCATCGGCCGACAGATCGGGGCGGTGGCCTACGTCGAGTGCACCTCCAAGGTTTCGGAGAACAGCGTCCGGGACGTGTTCCACGTCACCACGGTGGCGTCGGTGCGGCGGCCGCACAAACCGCAGCTGAAGCGCAGCAGCTCCCGCAGAGGTCTGAAGCGGGTGTCGCAGCTCCCCCTGCCGCCTCTGCCGGGTCGGACTGAGCAAATGGACCAAGCCCCGGCCATCAGGAAGGACCGGGCCAAGAGCTGTACGCTCATGTAGAAACCCAGATATGCAGTATTTATGTACATACGCCAATTAGAAGTATATAAAAGAGAAGTATATTTATTATTTGATGTTTCCTTTTTTTTTCGTGCATCTTTAATTCTTTTTGCACTGAGTGAGAGCAGAGGATTGCTGCACCGTGGAGACAAATTGTTTGGCTKTATGCATTCTTTTATAAGCAGTTTGCTTGTTTGTGTTTTCGAAAYGACGACTCGCCCTCTGGACACGCGGAAGCGCGGCCCGCGGTCCGGCGGAATTAAAGTGAAATTAATTTCCTGAAAGAGCGAGGCGATGCCGAGCAGGCATCAGCGCTGCTCGTTAGGCTCCTTCCTGCCGCCATATTTCGGAGGAAAACGGGTTCGTGTGCGGCTGCTGGAGAGGGACGCTGGCGTTTTGTGTGGACGATGTCGAGGAAGTGAAACGAGCACTACCACCACAAGTGCATTTTTACAGTAAATAAAATGTATTTTCCCTGTTTAACACGATTTTTTGTTCGTTTTCCAGTTTGCAGAACAATGCTGTTGTTATTTTAAACATGTTTTCTTTGTGGAGTTTTAAAATTGTAAGGATTAGGGCTATTTTGTTGTGTTGTCACTTAACTCAAAAATAAAAAAAAAAGCTTGACTCCACAGGAAAAAGTTTATTTTCTTCTTGGTTTATCTCAGAGATGAAAGTTGTCTCGTTGTGATCAGAATGATTGAGAAAATATTTCGTGTTTTCCTGCAGCAGCATTCAGGAGCCGTTTCTGTAAATGACACATTTTGTGTATTAATGTCTTCCTCTGCACTCGTGCTGCTGCAGAGTGTCTAACAACAGATAAGCCCGAGGAAAGATTGTCTCAAGATAATTGGCAGGCTATTTTCTCAGCTGGCACAAAAAATAAATTGAGCCGCTCTGCAGCAGCAGCAAACAATTTTGGGTTTAAACGGCTTTCGGCAGCTTTTATTCCAGGAACTGTTAATGATTTTTACATTTAAACTTGAGTTTGGACAAAAAAAATCTGTAAAACGTTTTATTTTCTGTGAAACATTTCATTGCACACATTTTCCTGTAAGTAGCAGGACCTTCTGGCCAAACCAGTTTTCTTTGGCACAAACCTGCTTCCTGGTAGAAAGTAAGTGGAGTTAAAAAGCTGAAAAAAACCTGTCGATGTAACAGCTGCTGCATTCCTTTTAGAATTTAAAAAACACAAACAAGCTGAGTTCCAACGGTGGCTGACRAGAAAATGAAGCTAAAAAAATAATCAAAGATTGTTTTTGGGGGTAAAGGTTAAAGGGAAGTTACTTACAAGGCATTAAATCAGATTCTGTTTATTAAACGCCGTCACAGCAGAGGAGCCCTGCAGCAGCATCCATAAATATAAATCTCTACTTATTTAGTTTAAAGTAAAGAGACAGAAAATATTTAAAATATTGAAAAAAATATTTGTTGCTCTATTCTCTGGGCTGAAAATAGAAGAACCATCTGGCTTGTTTTCTGTACAATTTAAGTGCAAATAACCGTGACGTTCTTGGAGTGCATTAGTTTTCATAGTGAACACACACACACACACACACACACACAC